AAATCTGTAAAGGCTGAAGAGGTAGCTGTTGAAATGCTCACTCTTTCTAGAGCTTCCCTTAACAAAAGTCTTCTAGCTCTTCTATTAGAAAATCCAGAATTGGAACTTGGTCTTCCTCCCTCTGAAAGCAATCGTTCAACCTCCCTTTCCATACTCTTATCACCCGAACTTCTTCCAACAGTAGGATCGTCACAACCATGAAACTCTAAATCCGCTGACAAGCTAACCTGTTCAATAGCTCTCGAATTCAAATCTTTCCCTTCCTTGACGGATAAGTCATCCTCTTTGTTAGACATAAAATCCAAGACACTCCCATGCCAGTATTTTCTGTCCCTAGACCTTTTGTAAACCCTATTAACGCTTCTCATTTTTCTTTTCTCTAAAGGAAATATTAATACTTAACAATCTATTAGACCTATATAAAAAGTACCCCTTGATTTACTTCTAGAAATATTAATACTTAGCTCTAGCAACATTAACTGTGATTCCTGAACTCCTAAACCAGCCTGTTCAGCATTCTCTGAAACTGTCCTCTTCCCCTCTTCTTCTTTACTGTAATTTCCTGACTCAACCAAATTCTGATCCTGAATCATTTTCCCAAACTTATCAATTTTAATTATTGGACCAACAAGAATTATCTTTGATGCATTTGGTCCAGAAAACCCATCATCCTCTGATTGATCTTGAGATCCAGCAGCCGAAATTTTTGAATTTCTAAACTCCAAACCTACAAACTCACCTACTTTGATACTCCCACCTTTCTGCAATTCTGACATCCCTCTTTTAATGCATTTCCCAACTTTGTCAAATCTTTGAAACTGATCTACCCCAGCAGCTCCATCAAACCCGAGAGCAGCGCCCTGTTCAATCCAACTGTCAACCCTCTGACGATTTTCTTCTGCAGATCTTGCTGAATATTCCTCCTTTTCTGACCACACCCTGTCTTCTTCCTTCTCGGACATAAACGTTCCAAACTGTCCCTCATCGGAACCGACCACCGGAAAGTTGCTGGAAAATAGATTGGAATGCTCATTCGCCAAACCAATCTTAATGCCGACTTTGAAGGATCTTCCATAAGATCCAATAGTAATCTGCTCTGGAACATCAAAAGGGCTAACCACCCTAATTAAAAATCTCACCTTTGTAAGATCTTCCCTGTGTTTAATGGCATCATGAATATCTCACCCTTCCCCATCTCCCTGCTATACTTTCCAGAAAAGAATCATTTCAACATAAAAGAGGTAACCCAAATAACTCATCCAGGAACACCTTCTTCATTCAATAATGGCTCCAAAGGATCGAACCATAGATCAAAATCGTCTTTCTTCTTCATCCATGCCTCCGACATTTCATCAGATGAATTAAAATTATCACACGAGAGTTCCAGACATATCCCCATCTAGCAATCTGGACTTCATAACCTTCATTGACTAGAGCCTCTTAAACTAATTCTAGCTCAAATTAATTCTTGATAATCCCCGTCAATGATCTTTTAACCCAGCTCGAGCTTTTAGATGGAATGTGCACTTCCAATAAGTTTTCCTTGTCTTTCCCCCTGTGATGACCTTCAGCTGAAAATTCCTTGAATCCCAGAACACTTCTCGACATCCTGTTCGACATCAAAGCATCTTTATACATTCTGTCATCCCTCAAACTTCTATTAAAACCAACTGACTCTTTTGAGTTAGATGTTTCAGCAATAATCGGACATGAAGCCTTCTTGAAAGAACTATTATTACGCTCTTTCCATGAACGGGATTCCTTGTATCTTGCAGTTCCAACCGCAATACTTCTCCCATCTATGACTGAACCATTTAGATTATCTACTGCCCTTTTCAAACCAATCTCATTCCCAAACTGCACAAAAGCAAATGTGGAGAATCTATATTTTGGATTTCTTGTTTCTTTGGGGATGTAGACTCTCTGAACAGGACCATGAACTAAGAACATTTCCTTTAACGCACGTCGTGAAACTCTCTGTCTAAGATTATCCACGAACACCGTCCAAATCTCATCGGAAAATAACTTACTATTCGCCTTTTCTCTCTCTACTACTCTCTCTCATTTTTACAGATTTTGAATGTGAAGAGGGTTCTTATAGTGTTTGAAGTTATGTCTGGTCTTCAGCTAAATCTAAAGAAAATCAAATTGTTTAAAATTAACTTAACTCAAGAGGATGTTCAGGGGTGGGCAGAGTCTATTGGTTGTTCAGTTGGGTGCTTTCCTTCAGATTACCTAGGACTTCCCCTTGGTACTAATAGGAATTCATCAGCTCTTTGAGATCCGGTGGTTCAAAATTTCCACAAGAAACTAGCTGATTGGAAGGTTTTTACTCTTTCATTAGCAAGGAGATTGTTATTGATTAAGTCGGTCCTATGCTCGCTTCCTACTTATTTTCTGTCGATGTTTAAGATTACAACCTCGGTATACAAAACCCTTAATTCAATCATGTCTAACTTCTTATGGGAAGGGGGTAATGATAAAAACAAGATACATTAAGTTAATTGGTCCAATGTGTGTAAATCAAAGAATGAGGGAGGTCTGGGTGTTCTGAATCTCAACAGCATGAACAGAGCACTATTAGGGAAATGGTCTTGAAGGTTTGCTAATGAATGAAACTCTGTTTGGAGAAAATTTATGTGCATCAAATACAATATAGATACATCCTTGTTATTGTTTGACAGAAAGGTTCCACATCAAGCTTCTTGGATTTGGAGATCAATGGTGAATAACCATTTCAAAGATGACCCTTTCGGCTCTAAGTTTCGAAGTTTGTTTAGTTTTCAAGTTGGTGATGGAGAGTTCATTCAGTTCTAGCAATATAGTTGGGCTTTGGATTATCCGTTGCTGGTTATTTTTCCTAAATTATTTTCTATTTCATCAAACAAGATTGGCAAATTATGTGAGTTAGGTGAATATCGATCTACAGGCTGGATTTGGGATGTTCAAGTGAGAAGAAATTTAAATGATTGGGAGCTTGAACAATGGTCTAATTTGATGGTTATCATTTCAAATTACTCTCTTTCTAAAGAATCCAGTGATGGTTTGATATGGAGAGGCAATGGGGATGGTGTATTCTGTTAGCTCTTGTGTTAAGTTGTGTTCTTCAGGTTCAAAGGAGGTTTATTTATGGAAAAATATAATTTGGAGGGGTCTGCTGCCTCCAAGAGTGGAATCCTTTGTGTGGAAAGTTGTTCTTCAGAAGCTGGCAATTAAGACTAAACTGGTTAAAAGAGGGTTCAAGGCATTGAAGATGTTTTATGTCCTCTTTGCAAGTTGGTGGAGTCTTCCACACATTTATTTTTTACTTGTTCAGTTGTGTGGTCCTTATGGAATATATTTATTAAGTTTTGGAGGTTCAGTTTTGTTTTTCACGCAAATGCCAAGATTTTTCTCCTAGCTTGGGATGACTTGAAGACTAATTCTGCTATATGGTCATTTATCTCAGGGGTTGTTCTCTAGACCATTTGGATATAGTGTTTGAAGGGGTGAAGTTAGATCAGACAATTATTTTTCTTAGCAAGATTTAGGCTTGCTTCTTGGTTTTGAGCTAAGTATAAGGAGATTTCTATTCCTAAGAATTCTCTCATTTCTGATCCTTCCCTAAGAGATTCTTACTCTTCCTACAATAACGTGATTTTATCTAAGATCCCTTGGTCCCCTCCTCCTAAGGGTTTCTTAAATTGAATGTTGATGCTGCCACTAGCTGCGATTGGAAGAAAAGTGGTCTTGGTGGCTTTTTAAGAGATCATTCTGGTTCGATTTTAGGCTCTTTCAAGGAGTCTTCTGGTTCGGGTCCTCCTACATTGATGGAGCTTAAAGCTATTCAAAGGGGTTTATCTTTCTTTCTCTCTTTTCAAGGGATTGTTAAGGATCGGTTGATTATTGAGAGTGATAGCAAGGTGGTAGTGGACTGGATTAAGAATGTTGATTTATGTCCAGATGTGTATGCTTTTATTGTTAAAGACATAGTTGATAGGCTTAGAGTTTTTTAGGGTGTTGTTAGATGGGTTACTAGGACAACTAACTTAGAGACTGATGTCTTAGCTAAGGCTGGAATAGGCTGACTTATGTGTTGTTGTTTACGGTTGTCTTATGGTTTTCTAGTTCCTGTAAGGGGTGTATTGGTGTGTTGTATTTCTCGAGTAACTTTCTTTATGTTTAATGAAATCTTAAGGCACTCTTTTTCTCCTTCCACTGATTAAGGAGCTTCTCTACGAGCTCCATTAATCAAGGAGGTTTTTAACGAGACCTTCAAATCTTATCAAAAAAAAGGAGAAGATATCAAAATCTACAAGTAAGTCATCACCCTAAGGAGAATATAGAGATATGTGTTTAATCATCCCACTATTTCAACCAGCTCGACATAACCCAAAGACCTTTAGCGTAAAATAGAAATTGCAGTATTTTTCCCAAGCTGCTAATCCATTCCTTTTTCATGCTAAACTAAAAAGAAATATTGTGAATCATACACAAAGGTCCTCCTGACTGTTTCTTGTGATAAGATATAGGTTACTTAACTAAAGAGGGGAAAAAACCTTCACATATGACCAAGTGGACTAAGCCCAAGATAATGAAGAAAATAATCAAAACCATGGTAGAAACATCTTGCCTAGAAAGAAAAAGAAAAACTAAGATCTGAAAATAGCCACCTGAAGGTACTGTCAATGATATAGAAATATTTCAGATCAAACAGATAGAAGTTATAACCGCTTCAAATACTTTAACTTTTATGACCCGATATAGAAACTGTAACTGGAAATCAGTGACACAAGAAAGACTGAGAGGCACTTAGAATTATTATGGCGTCTAAAATCCGAAATCAGTGACCGAGGTCGCACCATAGTTTAAATATTTTCTTCGTATTTTCTATTGATGATTTAATTTCACACACCTAATTTTTTTTTAATTTCGCAACCCTAAATTTATAATATAATTTATTAATTCGCACATAAGTAAAATCCTGTATCAGAAAAAAAATCCCAAATTATAATACTTACAGATTTCTCATAATGATCTCTCTCGGCAGCAGTGCAAATCTCAGAGGTACAACTCAAGCGATGCTCGTTCTTCCAGTAGATATCTGCACACAGAAAATGCAAAAAAAAAATTGAATGACATTTCATTGAAGATCAAGAAAGCAAAGAAAAAGAAAAGAGAGAAGGGAAAAGGAGAGATAAACCTAAGAGCTGGAATCCGGCAAAGGGGACAATAAAGAGGGAAGGCTGTAGGATTAGAGAGATGAGAGAGACCAAACGGTTCTTCAATAGCTTGGGATAGGGAAAGGTCAAGAGAAGGGCCAGCGCGGACTCTGCTGCCACCACGTAGGTTAGAATCATCCACTGCAACCCCATTTTCGATTTCTTCGAGCTTTCTTCTAGTATTGATTCTTTTCTATTCGTTGGTAATTTGATGTGACTATTTAATATTTAATATTGATTCTAGATGTTTCTCTTTGAATGACGACCGTTGACCATGTTCCTGGCCGTTGGATTTCCAAATAGCTTGATAACTTACACGTGTTTTACTTGCCAATGCCAATACAAGAGTGTTGGCTATAAAAGAGAGTGAACATTATCAAATTGACTTTAATGAAAACTAATTGAGATAGTTGAGTTTATACGTACTATCTTGTTAAATTATTTTTTTTGACTATTTTAAAATTAAATATATAAAATTTAAGTTAAATCGAATAAATATATTTAGTTGAGTTTTCATTTTAATTTAAATACAATTATTTATAAAATTATGATACATAATATAAGTTTCGATTGTAAAAAATTCTACATGTATTTGTAACATATGTATATGAAGATTACGGTGGAAGATAAAATATTCCTTAAAATGTTATTTTAAAAGAAGATAACGTGTTTTGGACGTAAAAGAAAATTATATCTAAGATTTATTGAATCTTATAAGATTTTAATTAGTAATGAATTGGTGGCTAATGACCCTATCGTCGAAGATGGAGCGTATCCATAATATTTTTCAAGTATCGAAGCTAAAGAGATATCATAAAAATCTTATCTTAAAGTGATTTCAAACTTGTCATACGAAAATGAACAAATGAGAATCCTTGCCAAAGAAGTTACAAAATTTCAAAACAAAAATATCCCGCTAGTAAAGATATTGTGAGGAACCATAGAGCAAAAGAAAGATCTGAGTCTACGTAACTATAATATCAACATATGTCTGATGCAGATAAACTTAAGAATAAATTTTCTTTTACGAGGAGAAAATCGAAACGACCTGAATTTTTAAGTAACACATAATTAATATATGTTGGAAAAACAATGAATGTATTTAAGCATCGAGGGAACGTGCTTTGGGTCACATGAGTAGTTTCAAAATCGGACCAAATGCAACAACGGAACACACTTGGTTTTCTCCTAAAATAAAATGGCTAAAAAGGCCACCCAAAATTTAAGACTTTCAGGAAGCTAAAGTGGTGCGAGACTCCATAGCAGAGAATCTACCACCCAGAAAGCCAACGGCACATCTAATCTAACGTGAAGCATTCTAAACCTGGTTTAATAAGAACTTGCTACCCGTGCAATATTTTCCCTAGTAAGACAGCAAGGTGCCATACCTATCCAACGGTTCGGCAACCTTCGGAACCAAGAGTAATTGTGACTTGGATTTGCCACCCTGCGGTAAGATTTTATATCTACAACATAATATCTTTTACAGTTACATCATCAAGGAATCTCATCTTGTAAAAGAATTTCATAAATATCAGTCCTCAAATTCAACTCCTTTTCTCTCATTACTTCTTGAAGGTCCGACAGCTCCTTTGCCGTTAAGATGGAGCTCAATCTCAAAAAACCATCCAGCCAAAGCTTTTTAGACCTACCAATTATGGAACAACATTTAGCAATTATGAAATATGCAAGCCAATCCAAAATATTTAGTTAGTAAGTTGAAACAACTTTGTGACAATATATCATATGAAAAATAATAGAACAATTCTATTCCCACTATTCTGACTCGACTGGTTTCTTGTATAGTTGTAAATTCCTGTAATTGTGTGTTTTCTTTATTTAGGAGACATTTGTATCTATATGCACAATGTAATCCATGAACTACATTCCTCGGCAAGTATCATTTAAATGTTCATGCATATCCACCGACATTTTATACAATGTAATGTTAATTTATGTCCAAATAGAAAGGTATTTTTTCTAGCATTTTACTGATATAAAGTGGAACCTGGTAACAAACACAGTCCTACATCTTCCACCAATTCTCCCAAATTAAAAAACTAGCTTAGGCTCACAAATTTGAGAAATCTGAGAATCACTAAAGCGGATTAGCTGCATTTTTTTGAGATTTTGGTTCCTAAATCTTTGCTCTATATCTCACACATGGTATCCATTTAATAGGCTGATTACGACTACAGTTGGTTCTTGCAATTTGATTTAACAGGGCATCAAAGGGAGAAGTCACTTACCAAGGACAAGCATGGATAGCACGAAAAAATATTCGCCTTGCAGAAGATGCATTGTGGACAACGTTAATCTCATATGCAACATACAATCGCCAGAGTACAACCGAACTATGAAATTTATCATTTGCTAGTGCCCTCTCAAATAATCCATGGATCCTATGCGGCGAGCCACTCCGACTTATCTCAAATATTAATGCAAAAAGCCAAACTACTCCTGATGGTCTCCTGAGAATATTTACAGAATAACAATCAATATAGATTCAAAGAATATCGGGAAAAAATCAAGCCCATGAAATTTCTTGAAAATACAAAAAGCAAAATTCTAAATCATTAAAGAATATATGACAAACTCAAATAACATAAAATATTGAGCATACTCCTCAATTTTAAGGTCCTGTTAATGGATGCCTATAGTATAGGCAGTAGCACTAGTTAACAAATATTTAATTACTATTTTAAAATATAATATATTCTGCATTTAATGCACTGCTTGTCAAATTTGAGAAAAAAAACGATGCATTAATTGCAGTATTTTTTAAATATAAATATCACCTTAATCAATGCATTATGCAGTATTCAACGATTCCCTTAATTTTAAACAGCTTTCAGAAAAAGCCAATCTCCAGTTAAAACAGGTCCAATGTAAAGGAAAGCAGAACTTTAAAATTAATTAATTAAATTCTTAAACTTGGCCAAAACTAAAAGCATAACAACACTAAACAGTTTGCTGAGACACAAGGAATATGATCTTACTTGTGACAGTGGTCGTCGAACATCCACCGTAATTTATTAGGAGTCGTGTAAAGACAGCTGATCTCCACTAAAGCTTTAAAGAGTTCTGGGCTGGATGGATATATTTGCAGCCCGTGTGTGACAGATTCCCAAGCTTTGGGCAAAGTAAATTGCTCATGATGTCTCTGAAGCACCCCAAAGTAATAGTTGAAAAGATATTCTAGATGATGACTTTGGCTTCTTCTTTCTGCAAAACACAGATTACCTCACTGGCAATATTCTCTCTCTATGAATGAATACAAGGAAGAATTTAACCTATTTTATTAAACAAATCATGTAGCGCAATCAATCAACTTTAATGTGTCAAGATAATTCCGCATTCAGTTTAGGGAAATGAAAAAAGACAGCCCATTTTAATCAAAAATGGATTTCACATTTCACCCTTTTTTCCTCCAGATTGAACTCCAGAAATAAAAGGAGTGGATTAAAAATGGTGCATAAAAAGGCCGCAAAAAGCTTCCATCTAGTCAACAGCATGTAACTTGCCCTTTTCTTCTCGCCCATTCTTCTCTTTTTCTCTTTTGTTATTCTTATCTAATTCCAAACTCTAGCATAAAGATGCTGGCAAACTAACACGACACATCCAGAGCCATAGGGAACAAAGCATAGATAAGCAACATGGTTGTACGAAGTCAAACAATACGAATGTTATTCCAAAGAATTCATAGTAACAAGTGCAAACTTAAAGTCCTATCAATCATGAATCGGTTGATTAAAACTACCATGCCCTTGATAGCAATAGAAAATGCCAATATACATATATATCATCTGGCAATCAGAGTTAGCAGATAATATGTGAATGTATATGACTGTAGTCTGTATATTTATATAGTTTCAAGAAGGAAAAGAAGAACCTAAGCTGCAGACTACTATAATTTCAATGAAACGGTTGATTAAAACTACCATGCCCTTGATAGCAATAGAAAATGCCAATATACATATATATCATCTAGCCATCAGAGTTAGCAGATAATATGTGACTGTATATTACTGTAGTCTGTATATTTATATAGTTTCAAGAAGGAAAAGAACCTAAGCTGCAGACTACTATAATTTCAAAAAGCATGGAACTAACTTCTAATGTTACTTGTAAATGTAAAAGTTAGATGAAGGAGAAAATTTTATATGTATATCTACACATAAAAAGAAGACAATAACATGGGTAAATCAGCTAATTTACTAAGAAAAGTGAAGGGCTCTAGAGCTTTCAACCATAATGATTAAAAAAAAGAGGGAAAGAAGTAATGAATACCTGGAAGTACCATCGTAAAAACATGATCTATAATTTCAATACCCGCAGACCATCCAGCAGCCAACTCTTCAAACAAAACCGCTGCACAAACTAGGGCAACTGACTGATCATCAACAAAACCCCGGACCCATTTTGATCTTAATGTGTCTAATTTTTCTTTAAACCCTTGCCGTGCTTTCAGTAATTGCAAGCTTGATGGATGACTTGTAAATGGACTGTATGCCATACTACTACCTAGGCAGGACAGAATATGCATTGCACGTGATGATGAATCCAATTTACTCCCACGATTGTTTCTGAGCTCGGCTTCAGCGTACCACAAATATAGAAGAGAAGAATTAGACTGTAGATCCTGCTCAAGTAAATAAGACTTTTAATACGTTAAACTGAAAAAACTCGAAAATAATTGAACTATTGCATTGAAGCACACATAAAATGAATGAATGTTTGGATGTCAAATCATACTTGAACTTACGCGTGAGTGTTAGAATGTGTCTGACATGAGCATGCTGTTTTTTTTAAAGAAAAAGACGGTATTTTTCATGAATTTAGAAAGTGAACTTCAAGAAAATCCAAGAGTCAGATGTGAACTTCAAGCATTTCTTTATGCACAATGGGGAGGAAAGTGAGTCAAAGAAATAAAAACATCAAGAACAGTCTAGAACAGAAAATTAGCATAGAAGATCAGGGACAAAGAAGATGAATAAGAAACTTCCAGAGGTAATAAATGAATTTGTGACAGCCAAAACAAAAGGCTAAAATATTTAGTAGCTCCAGATATAAGCAGTTAATTACAGAAGTACAAGCAATTCAATCTCGTAAAGGAGTACCAGTCCTTAGTACACTAGATAGAAGGCAAATCAATTATCTTTTTAAAGTGGTGAACTCAACATCATAT